ATCCAGTTTTTTTTATATCGACTATGCATTCCGCTAGTTTTTCAAATTGGTATGTTTCGCCGGGCTGCGAAGAAATATAGAGCTGAGTATCATCAGCATAACAGTGAAAGCTAACACCGTGTTTCCTGATAATATCTCCCAAGGGTAATATGTAAAGCGTGAAGAGTAATGGCCCTAGTACTGAGCCTTGAGGTACTCCATACTGCACTTGTGATCGATATGATACCTCTTCATTCACTGCTACGAATTGATGGCGGTCAGATAAGTACGATTTGAACCATGCTAATGCACTTCCATTAATGCCAACAAAGTTTTCTAGTCTATGCAAAAGAATGTTGTGGTCAATAGTGTCAAACGCAGCGCTAAGATCCAATAGCACTAATAGAGAGATACAACCACAATCAGATGATAAGAGCAGGTCATTTGTAACTCTAATGAGACTCAGTACTATGATATGGTCTAAATCCTGACTGGAAATCCTCACATATACCATTTTTCTCTAAGAAGGAATATAATTGTGAGGATAGTACCTTTTCTAGTATTTTGGACAGAAAAGGGAGATTCGAGATCGGTCTGGAATTAACTGGTTCTTTGGGGTCAAGTTGTGGTTTTTTGATGAGAGGCTTAATAACAGCCAGTTTGAAGGTTTTGGGGACATATCCTAATGACAATGATGAATTAATAATAGTCAGAAGAGGATCTATGACTTCTGGAAGCACCTCTTTTAGGAGCTTAGATGGAATAGGGTCTAGCATACATGTTGTTGGTTTAGATGATTTAACAAATTTATAAAGTTCTTCCTCTCCTATAATAGAGAATGAATGGAATTGTTTTTCAGGGGATCTATAGTGCACTGTCTGATGTGATACTGTAGCTGAAGGCTGCATGGTTACAATTTTCTTCCTCTCCTATAGTAGAGAATGAGTGGAATTGTTCCTCAGGGGATCTATAGCACACTATCTGATGTGATACTGTAGCTGACGGCTGCATGGTTACAATTTTATCTCTAATAGTATCGATCTTGGAATTAAAGTAGTTCATAAAGCCATTACTGCTGTGCTGCTGGGAAATGTTAACGCCTGTTGGTGCTTTATTTTTCGTTAATTTAGCCACTGTATTGAATAAATACCTGGGGTTATGTTTGTTTTCTTCTAAAAGAATAACAGTTAGCTTTAAACTAAATCTTATGCAAGCCAGTTTCTGCCTCAGTCAAAAAAAAAAAAAGGTAATTGTGAGATGAAGTTTAAAATATGAAATTAAATAAAATCACACTGTGGGATTGCAATTGTAATTACAAGTTATAAAGTCGCGTTGTAAGATTTAAAGTCACTATTGGGACATATAAAGTATCAATTCTGAGAAATAAATAAAAAAGAGAGAAAATTGTAATTATGATATATAAAGTCACAATTTTTTTTTAATCAGAACCCTGAGGTGTCTAGTGTCTTTACCTGGAACATCACCTAAAATTTACTTGAGTCTAAATCAGTGGTTCTCAACATTTTCAATAGCACCTTATTGTCCAATACAATATTTGAAGGAATCCCCCCCTATTTCCAGAATATTTGCTGTAATTTAGGACAAAGCTGTTTTTGGACTTTTAATTTATATATTGAAATACTATTCAATTTACGATTCCGCAAGTTGTGTTTTGTTTTCCAGAACCGTATGCTGTTCATTAAAAGAAATAGTTATTGAGGGAAAACAAAAATAAATATGATTTCAGTTTATATTTAGATCTTCTTGATTTAAATTTTAACATTTTAATGTAGATTAGAGTTAGATTATTTTAATATATTATTAATAATGTATTATTTATTTAAATACTTTTGGCCCCCTAGTTGAGAATCACTGGTCTAAATCATATTTCTGTGTGACTTTGCCATAATTTAATGTAAATGCTATTAATGCCTCACACTAATTGCTATTTCACAACAATTATTTTCTAGATGTTACCTTCCAACATGGAAGTAAATCGCATTCCTTGTATTTTATTTTATTTTTCAGAAAACCATAGACTGGAGTCATCATTTCAAAATCACCTTGTGCTCAAGGTTTTGGTGGTATGCTTTCAAGTTTTTTTGTCTGTTCATTCACATCTTCAGTCGTATAATGGCAGGTTTAACTATTTCATTTTTTATTTTACTTCTTGTAAATATAACCCTGGCATTATTAAAATTATGCAAATTTCTCAAGTGAAAATGTAGTTTTAATTATTGTTTTTTTTTTTGTTTGTTTCCAGTTTAACTTTGTAAACTGCTTTGCCTCTCTCTTCTATATTGCCTTTGTCATGCAAGATATGGTGCTTTTGAGACAGGTCAGTATTTCACACAAAACTCAGCTGCTTCGACAAGCAATAAATCAAGTGTAGTTGAATGACTTAATTACAACTTTACAAGATGCCTTATGGTTGTCTGTGTGTGTGGATCATTAGAGTTTGGCCACGCTGCTTATCACCTCTCAAATCCTGAATCAAGTGATGGAGGCCTTCCTGCCATACTGGCTGCAGAGGAGGAGGAACAAGAAAGTCCATAAGAGGATGAGGAGAATGATGGGTGATAAAGAGCTCCCCCTGCTGGAACAAGTTCAGCTGGAGACCGAAATGAACACCTATCTGGTAGGTTCCAGTAACTGTGATCAGTTGGGTGCCTTGAGCTGTGAAAATTATATAATTACCAGCACATAGGATATACACTCTTTTGAAGTCCACTTCAAATGTTAGTCAAGGTTTCTTCTTGCACCAAAACCAGTCATCATTTAAATTTTACATGACCATTTCCATTCCTTTCTGACCTTTAAAACTGAATCCCATTCTGAAATAACTTTGGTCATCAGGGCACATTTGACGACTACCTCGAGCAGTTCCTGTTGTTCGGCTATGTGAGTCTGTTCTCCTGTGTGTATCCGCTGGCCGCTGTGTTGGTGGTGCTGAACAACATCACTGAGGTTTATTCTGACGCCTTCAAGATGTGCCATGTTTTCAAGCGTCCCTACTCAGAACCAGCAGCAAACATCGGGGTGTGGCAGGTGAGAAAACCTCATGAGAAAGCCTCACATCCTGATAATTTACTGTACTTTAAAGAAAGCTTAAGAGACATAAGAAATGTACAATGCAGGGTATAATCTGACAAACTTCAATAACAGTAAAAATGACTATTTGAATCATAATGATAATGCAGCTTGTCATCTGGATGTTTGTGTTAAATATAAATCCAGAAAAAAGTGTTGTTTTAACAATAGCAATCAAAAATACGACCTGTTTTAGTATTATTATGTGCCTTTGCCATTTTTTAAAAAATATTTCTACTTCTATTTCTAAAAAGGTTTTTGTCATTTTAATACTGCAACTTAAACTTAATTTTTTTAAATTGAAGTATTTAGTATTTCATCTCATTTTTATCTAATTTTTATATCTTATTTTATTTAAACTTTATTTCAATTAGTTGTATTTAACAATAATAACAGTTACACACACACACACATACACAAACAAAACTAACATTTGATATTTTTATTCTTCCAGTTGGCATTCGAGACGATGAGCATTATCGCCGTGGTTACCAACTGTGCCTTGATTGGTTTGTCCTCACAAGTGAAAGCCTACTTCCCTGAATCAGAGACTCAGATGATCCTCATTGTGGTGGCAATAGAGGTAACATATTCTCTTGTCCTTACACCATGATAACCTATAACCCCCTTTTGCAATGGCCCAAATGGTCCATAAGGTGGCATCAGTGAGTTGTTTTCCTTCTGCATGTGAGCGTATGAGTGTCAAAGTGTGCTAAACTTGGCCTTTTTTCCTTAATCACCATCCTGGTGGTTTGGATAATGCAGAAAACATAGTGTATTAGACTTTGTCAGTTTGTGTAACAGACGAATCCAGATCCCCACTACTGTGGAGCTCCAGTCCATATGGGTTAATGTCAGAATTAAACAGGAGGGTCAGTAAAGGATAAGCTTTGCTTCTAACCTCAGGAGACCTACTCAAAATAACTGACCCAAAGCATAGAGAGAAACACGCACAAACACACTAGAGACGTGTTTTTTTGGGGAAGAGAAAATAGAACTCCTGAAATTCTGTGGGGATCTGGGGAGGAATTCATTGTGCCATGTCTTGTTTTCTGCTAATTAAACTTCGCAGTAATCACTGGAGTTGTAATTAGGCCATACTGATTCGCGCACAGCATCAGCGTACCATGACAGAATTTTAAATAAAACCCAAAACCAGTAGGCTTTGTTGGTTCGTTCTGCAACATTAAATCAAGTAAACGTAATCCAAATTGACCGAAGTCAGAGAAGATATGCATGTCAAATCAAAAGCAAACAGTAGTGCTGTCACCTCATATAGGCAGTATTTGAAGTTCTAATTCAGATTGATTGGATTGAGTTTGGCTGCTCCTGCTGGTTGGTGGGAATTGATTTGTTTATGGCTGGTTCAGCTGGAGTACGGGTATGCTGGCTACACTGGAACAGCTGCTGTCTGCTCGGTTCACGGCAGGTCAGCTCACTGCTCCAAATCAACTTAGTTTGTAGGTGAGTGTGTGGCTACGCTGTATCTCTGACGTGTTCCTGTGAGGGTCATGGCACTCATCAACATTCGATAGCTCAGATGGTAGAGCAGAGGATGTTACATTAGGACAGTTGTTTAATCTATCGGAGTGTCTATTTACTATAAACTTTTTTTTCTCCCTTTTCAAATCTCATATCACATCGGAAAGGCATTTATTTTCAATAAAAATGAAGTAAATGATCAAAAAGTTGAAAATAAAGTATCGGGTAGGGTTAGGGTACGTGTAGGGAGGGGCTTTATTGTCCCAATAAGGTGGCATCTATTTAATAATTTGAATTAAAATTATAATTTACACTCAATACGTTATTATTGCATACTGTTTTATAATGTACTATAATACTGAGGTGCAGATAATTGCCACTATTTGCAATAAGTAGTATAAATAGCAGAAAATCCAGCTATTTTAACAGTGTAAATAGAATATATCGCTATTTGCACTGTGTAAATAGCATATTGTTAAAAATACTATTTTCACTTAGTGTAAATAGAATCTATTGCTATTTGCACTTAGTGTAAATAGCATCTATCACTAAGAAAATAGGCTATTTGCACTTAGTGTAAATAGCCTCTATCGCTATTTACACTTAGAGTGCTTTCACACTTGTTTCGATTGCTTGGTCCGAACCCGAGTTTGATTGCTCCCCCTCCCCCTGCCCCCGCTGGACTGTGTTCACATTATATTATCTGGGTCCGAACCGCGGTTCGTTTACGTCATCAAGCCAGCAGCTGTTTACCCCATTGCTTAGTAAGGAAGGTGCAGGAGAAGACAGCAAAATGCATAGCATTGCTCTCTTCAATTTTATATTTATGC